GGACTCGCTCTGACAGCTCCATGTCTTTCTTTTACTGGGAACTCCAGAGCTGGACGCAGTACTCACGAGAGTGGAGTAGAGGCGTGGAATCACCTCCCTCGACCTGCTGGCCATGCTGTTTTTCATGCAGCCCAGCATATGGTTGGCTTTCTGAGCTGCAAGTGCACATTGCCAGCTCATGTTGAGCTTCTCATCAATCAATACCCCCAAGTCCTTCTCCTCTGGGCTGCTCTCAATCCATTCCTCACCCAACCTACAGTCGTGCTTGGGATTGCCCTAATCCATGTGCAGGACCTTGCACTTGGCCTTGTTGAACTTCATGCGGTTCGCACGTAGCATGTCGACGGTACCACACAGCTTGTTGTCATCAGCAAACTTGCTGAAGGGTGCACTCGATCCCACTGTCCATGTTGCCAACAAAGATGTTAAACAGTGCCACTCCCAATACTGACCCCTGAGGAATGCCACTTGTCACTGATCTCCACTTGGACATTGAGCCATTGACCACAACTCTTTGAGTGTGACAATCCAGCCAATTCCTTATCCACCGAGTGGTCCATCCATCAAATCCATGTCTCTCCCATTTAGAGACAAGGATGTTGTGTGGAACAGTGACAAATACTTTACACGACTCCAGGTAGATGATGTTAGTTGTTCTTCCCTTATCCACCAACGCTGTAACCCTGTTGTAGAAAGCCACCAAATTTTGTCAGGCACGATTCACCCTTAGTGAAGCCGTGTTGGCTGTCATCAATCACCTCCTTATTTTCCACGTGCCTGAGCATAGTTTCCAGGAGGATCTGCTCCACGATCTTGCCAGGCACGGAGGTGAGACTGACCAGCCTGTAGTTCCCTGGGTCTTCCTTTTTTTCTCTTTTTAAAAATGGGGGTTATGTTTCCCCTTTTCTAGTCAGTGGGAACTTCACCGGACTGCCACGACTTGCTGGTGAAGGCTGAGGCACAAAAGTTGTTGAGTACCTCAGCCTTCTCCATACCCTGGGTAACCACACCTCCTATTTCCTTCCAGAGGGAGCCCACATTTTCCCTGGTCTTCCTTTTATCACTGATGTGCCTATAGAAGCTTTTCATGTTGCCCTTGATGTCCCTGGCTGCTTGGACAAGATCATTATACATGCAGTAGTTCAGTGAAAGCATGATGGCATAGCCTAGCATTTAAATCCCTTCTCTGTAAGGTGGTGAAATCTTGGTTTCAAACTTTGCTCCGATGAACGTTCAGGATTTTGTTTAGGTTTTTATGAGAAGTTCATATGAGAGCTGCTACTTCTGCTTATTGTTTTGTGGAGAATTGATTTGTAGGGTTGTCTGAAGATGCCTGCTAAATGTTGTTTGCAGGAAGAGGGGTAGGTTGGTTTTTTTTTTTCCCCTGAATCTCAGAACATATATGGATGAATGAGGCAACTACCTACACTGTGACATCAGCAGGCTCTTCCCTTGTGTACTCAGAAGTGGATTATTAAAACCCCGGGAGTGTTAAGTAGTGACTGAACAGGAACCTGGGATGGCAAAAAATCCCATGACCCCTATTATCGGCCTCTGCAGTAGATTTCACATCAGCGATGGGTGTGAACAGACTTCGTTGTGAATAAAACTTGGAAAAGCTTCAACCATAAACTTCCCTCTTTGATGCTTGGTCCTTACACCTTCATTTAATTTCTCTAGCTCTACGTGAAGCCCTTCACATTCCAATTCCTAATATATATTTAGTTCTACAAAGATGATAGATATACTCAATAGTTGAGATACTTGAGCAAATAGTACAGAGTGCTTTAAAATGCCATTTCTGTGTTGAATAGTAGATTTTTTTTTTGCAATACTACTACGAGCTTTAAAATAGTATCATTTGGTTGTTTTTTTTTAAACTTGTGTGTGGTAATTGTTTATTTCAGTCTTATGGATGCCACTTAGATAACTTGCATCTGGCTGTTCTTTGACAGGAACCACTGTTCCATCCCAGGTACTGAAAGAGAGACTCGCTGAATTGGAAACTGAAATAGAGCGATTCAGAGCTGAAAACACAACTCTAACTAAGCTCCGTGAAGAAAGAGAGCATGCCTTGGCAAATATCAGGTAATTTTTAACTGAAACATTTTGGTGCATTCACGTAGATAATGTTCCAGATTATCATACTGTCCATTTACCAACAGCACGAGTAAATAATTGGTGTGTTTCAGTTACAGTGGAGACACCGTTCAAGAAACTGGTTGTTGCTCTATGTGTATGTTAAATTGTAATTATTACTCACACACAAATTACAATGCTAAGAGCCCCTGCTAGTTTAATATGATATCCTTAAAGGCTATACTTGGGAGAATGTGTATACTTTTGTTCTGAGTAATAACACAGTCCTCAGTTGGTCTTGCAAAACTGATCTTCATGTTGACATGATTGATGCTCTTCTGTTGGATTGGAGAATATTTGCATTTGAACTGGGGGACTTACAAGTGACATATAGAGCAGAATAATGATCTCTGGTGACTTAAACATGGCACACGCATTCCTACCAAAGTCACTTCAGTTTTGTTTGGAAACAGCATCATGTTGTTGGCTAATGTTTAATTTGTGACCTTCTGCTGCTAGCAGATTCTTTTCCCCAGTACTTTTGGGGGATTGGTGGTGTTCTGCTTTCAAGAATGTTGGAAGATTTAAGCCAAAGCTTTATTAAATGCAGGGTAACTTTTGTGACTAGGAGATGTAAAAATAGCAATTGTTGGACTTCAAACACTAGCTGTGTGACAATTCTTACTTCTTAAATAAGTAATACCATTTATAGGTAAGTCTTCCTGAGGGTAACAGATGCTGGACTGGAATCAATGACCACAAAATTAATTTTCTGCCTTAAAATCCAGATTTGAAGTAGTTTTGGGCTAAAACAACAACTTTATTTCATAATTATAGGAAAGAAATTGCAGACTTTCAACAGCAGAAAGCGCAAGAACTGGCTGAAATAGAAGAATATAAAAAAAAAGAAATGAAAAAACTGCAAAAGGAGCGTAAAGTTTTTGAAAAGTATACCACAGAAGCTAGAGCAATTCCAGATAAAAAAGAACGTGATGAAATTCAGGTATAAAAATATGTTATTCTTCTAGTTCACACAAGAACACTTACATTCATTTACAGGCAGTCGAGAGCCAAATTCTAACTTAACTGAAAGGTTGCAAGTGATTTCAAGACGGGAACTGCTAGTAGACATGGTGTAATTGAGGAAGGAAATACAGTCTTCACAATGTTTGATGGTTTTAAGGCAAACCCCCTGATGAGAAAATCCTTTTGTCATGTTTCCATACTAAAAACTGCTCATGACTATGGCAGAATGATCTTCAACTTTGATACAAAATTACTGTAGTTAATATTGAGTTGTAAGTTTTTATTCATGGTAGTGGATCAAAGTGCAAACTAGAACTGTACTTCAGTTTTATTCTGTCTATAACTGTCGTGCAGTAAATGTAGTAATCTTCCTTCCACAATTTTCAAGGTTACATTTTGTTATTACTTGTAGGTCTTTAGGTATCAGAGATGTAAGAAACAAGATCTGTTTGTTCCTTCATTGCCAGGCTGTATGGTACAGGAGGTGTACAGACAAGTTGTGTTAAACACCACACATGGATTTGACTCTTCCTTCCTTACGCATTTTCCTTGCATAACTTCAACAGATTGAAGTAACACTTGCTAAGCCAACTAAGCAGATTCACGTGTGGTTTATGTGATTGTGTCGTCCTTATTTTCCTGCACCAAGATTTCTGAAGGGTCCTCTCAGGGAGCCTTAAAGATTTCATGTTTTTGTCTCAAATGTATTTGTACTGGCCAATCTATGAAGTGTAAAGGATGCCAAGAGGGCAATAAAGATGCTTCCTGTGAGTGAAACTGAGCTTATAAAGTTGATAAAGTAAATAATATCTCTTTCAGGGAAGAAAACTTCTCCTACCTTTCACTCTCTGCCCCATTAAGCTGAACTTTTTTTTTCCACTCTTGTGATTTTTTTCTTTTCTTCTTGTATTTCTATTAGAACATTAACATCTTTTAATTTATTAAAAAATGAAAGCTCTTTAATTTATAAGGATGCATTTTTCTAAGGCTTTAAAACAGCAGATTGCAGAGTTACAGGAAGATTTAAAACGAAAAGAGGCAAAATGGTCAACCACTCATCGACGCCTGAAAGATCAATTAGAAGCTTTAGTAAATGAGAATATGGAGCTAAGAGAGGAAGTCAAAATTATGGAGAGGTTTCGTCTAGAAGCCTGGAAGAAAGTAGAAGCTGCTGGAGGCAAGAGGAAAATAGAAAATTCTGGGATGCCTCTAAAAAGAGCAGAATCTGTAAGTTATTAATCCTGGTGTTTTAAATTAATCTGTGTGAATACTCTGAGTTTTGGATCATGAACTTGGAATCCAATAGCTACAACCTAGATCTTTACTTCTAATTTACCAATCTTGAAACTCCTGTAGTGGTGACAGCCACAGAATTTTGTGAATGTCAGATTCTCCCCAAATGTGAATGTTTACAACATGCAGCATCCATTCTGTTGAGGAACTCATCTTAGAAATTCAAAATGGAGGAATTGTAAGAGAAGAATCACAGATGGGATCTAACCTGTGAACCTCTGCACCTTAAGGATCAGCCAGGCAAACCAGGCAGTTCTCCACTGTCTAAAGCAGTTATATTTAGTTTTGAAACTCTATTTTTCTGGATTGCTTGCACCACATGAACATTCCACAGTTGTTGGCAGTGAGGCAGCAGAGAGATGAAGAATTCCAAAGTACAGCTTGGGCTACATCACACAAGCCCTTCTGCTGACTAAATAGTTTGTGAAGAAAGCTTCCAGTAAATTTCATGTTACGTGGTGTATAAATTTTGTTGCTGCTGTATGGTTAGGAATAAATGTCACGTCAACCACAAATAACTTCCTTTTTTTTAGTGTCTACAAAATAGAGACCCAAAAAGTCAAACTGCATCTCCGCTTCTTCCAGTGCAGAAGTGCAGCAAGATCAGTGGCAAAAGTTATTCACAGGCAAAAGGTATAAATGTTTGTCTAATCAGAGAATTCTGTTAACTCTTTAAAAGAAAATTAATGTGGATTTTTGCTTTTATTGAAAAGAGTGCATCACCACCTCAAAAGTAGGTAGAGAATAGTGGTAATGGACTTGAGTATATGGATAAATACTTCCCTGGGTGAGGTTCTGGAGGAAGCCGTGATGAGACCATTCTGGTCTTCTGGTCAAGTCTGGTGGTCCAAGGCATACCGGAAGCTGTGTTCTGTAATCCAAAATGGCATTCATCAATCCAAAAATAGCATTCATCGTTGATGTTCTCCAAGCTGCAGATTTATTAGATGACTGTGTTGATAGCATCAGAATTGCTGTGTCTCTTCAGAACGTTCTGTTATCAGGATCTGTAATCGTATGGGCAATACTGTAGCAGGTGTTCCTTGTTCACAGTTAGGAGCAAATGCTGTTGGCAGCTCTGCCCCTTCCTAATGAATAATCACACACAGAAAGTAACTGGAGGGTACTTTTTGACACCTCTGACAGCTCAAACACCCATTGTGTTATCTGTTAGAGGAGTATGTTCAGAACTGAAGCCCTTGCTGCTTTTATTGTGGTAATCTTTCTGGTGTGCTAGGAGAGACGTGGGAAAAGTCTGCCAAGCAGTTCCTGTTAAAAGGTTATATTAGTCTTTATTCCTTGCAAGGCACAACTAATAATGTTGTCTAGGTCCTGGGCAAGCGGGGGGAGAGGTGGAAATCCTTTGTAAATCTACAGAGATGAAATAGGAGAGAAAGTGCAAGTATTATGCCTGTTGCAGTGATTCTTCAGTTGTAGCTTCTTGCTGACACATGAAGCAATGCCATACCTGAGGGAGCTGGCTTATGCTGATTCTTTTCGTAAATGTACTGCTTTTAGTTGCTACTGCACTTAAGAAACGTAGGTGTCCTGTACAACTTGACCTCATGTATGACACTTAAACTATATGTCAGTTTCACTGTCCATATTAACTATTGCATGTATCTGTGTAGGAAAGCTTGCTAGAACACCTGCAGCAGCACCTCCTAGTGACAGAAGCAACTCTGAGACAATGATGGCACTAGAAGATTCTTCTAGGACTTTTATGGTAGTAAGTTCTATATCTTGACTTGATTTTTAAGGGGGGGAGGGAAAACCCAAAATAAAACAATAGTTACTTGTACTTAAATAAGGATGATTGGTGAAGCTGTTGACTCAACTGCGATGTTCTTTTATTGTCATACCAGAAAATGGGTAAGTAGTAGTCAATGCAGAATGTTTTACCTGTGTCCAGTAGTTGCATCATTCTTTGGCTGAGGAAAATAAAATAATCATCTCCTGCTCCCTTGAATTTTGAAAAATGTTTTACCTTTTGAGGGAGGGGAAAAAGGTGGATGTTTTTGGCATGTTTTTAGGGCAACCATGCAAGAATCTTGTAAACAGTTGAATTAATTCTTGCATTAATTGCTGTAGGTAGCATTCAGGCTTTATGAAACTTCATCAATTGCTTCATACCTTGATACGGATGACTTAAGGCAGTTGAGCACCATGTTACAACACACCACTGAATTCTGCTTGAGTCCAGACTACAGCTGATCAGACAACCAATTGTTGCCAAGCCTCAGTCTGTCTTACCACTTGAATTATACTAGGAGTTGCATAAAACCCAGATTGTGTTTATGCCTTCCTATACTGTCTTCCTCGCCTGATGCTCCTTGTTTCCTAAAATACCTGTTAGCCTAGGAAAAGAAACCCATCTATAAAGACAAAGATTGATTTGAGATGATGCCTTGATTATTGTTGCCATTTCAGGACACCTCTCCTACCGAAGCTCACGTGTCACTGCCGTCTGGACCTGTATATACAGACAGTGAAGAGATACAGAGAGAAACTGCATATCCTGATGGAAAGGTAAAACAAGAGCTCGGCACTCAAAATTCCACAAGACAGCTGATGTGAAAGAGGAATGAGTATGTGAGCGCAATGGCTCAATACTGACCTCTCTGTAATGTATTCATTAGGTTGAAAAGGTTTTGAAAAATGGTTGTCACCTCATATTTTTCCCCAATGGGACATGGAAAAAAGTGGGTTCTGATGGGAAGACCGTAACTATAACCTTCTTCAATGGGGATGTGAAGCAGGTTATGCCTGATCAAACAGTGGTATGTATCCTACATCTGCACTTTTTTATAAATACTTATGTGTACACACATAAAATTTCTCACTAGTTTTATTCAATCATCTGAACTGTTTTCTGCAGATTTATTATTATGCTGATGCTAAGACTACACATACTACATACTCCGATGGCTTAGAAATCTTGCAATTTTCAAATGGACAAATAGGTAAAGAAATCATCCAGCCCAACCAACCCTCAAAATTGCTGCCCATATTTATACACCTGCATTTACATAATAAGGATATTGTCTCAAAATACATTTCAGAGAAGCATTATCCTGATGGCAAGAAAGAAATTACCTTCCCTGATCAAACTATTAAAAATTTATTTACGGATGGGCAAGAAGAAAGTATCTTTCCGGACGGTACTATCGTTCGTACTCAGCGGTAAGCTGTACCTTTTCTGGTTCCCTGGCCTGTTGATGGGAAAGGAGCACTTAGGGCTCACAACCCAACATCTATTTCTAGAAGTTTGTATTTGCATATATTGTACTGTGACCATGTATTTATTTACTGTTTGACATTTCGATATTTAACAAAACAGGCTTTTCACAAATACTGTATTGTTTTAAAGTTCTTCCTTCATTCAGGCTTGCATGTTTAATGTTTGTTCTGAGATTAAGCTTAAGCCTATGTATAGTCCCTACAATGGTGTAGTTTGTTTTGTTTTTTTTTTTAAATTCCTATATCCATTTATTTAATGCAGAGATGGCAGCAAAACTATAGAGTTCAATAATGGCCAGAGAGAACTACACACAGCACAGTTCAAGAGACGGGAGTATCCGGATGGTACTGTCAAGACTGTGTACGTGAATGGACAGCAGGAAACAAAGTATGTCTCAGGGAGAGTAAGAGTCAAGGACAAGGATGGTAACATTATCATGGACACTAAGTTGTAGGTAACATCAAAACTGTTGGAAGTGTTGGCACATCAGCAAAAAATAATGTACATTACTGTAAACAAGAGAAACCCCTTTAAGCTTGTTGTATATATGTTGTTTATAATTTTCCTGAAATAAATTTATTTGTCAGTGGGTGTTAATACATCAGAGCTTCTTCTATTTTTTTCCCCATTTCTACTTTTAAGCAGCAGTTTATTGACTGAGTATTCTGTCTCGTGTTGTTTAAAGGGTGGGGTTTTTTAAATCCTCAGCTGTCAGTGAACATTCAAACACACAGCTATAAATTACCTTATTTTAGACATCTAAGAAAAAAGATTCTTCAATCCAAGGTACAAAGTTGTGCTGTAGGAACCCTGCTGTGGTCAAATACAGCAGGCGGCCAGATTTAAGAGTCTGGCTATTACTTTACTTATTGCTTAAGAGTAAACAAATGGCAGTATTCCTTTTCAGTTACCCTTAGGCTATTCTTCTTCCCTATCTTATTTCTTCTTCATCTCACAGTTCGGAGGCAACACCATTAGCAGGCCCCAGTCTGTTCTGTAAACTGCTCTTCTATAGCCCTAAGCCTAGGACAGGTGAGGATGTGGGGCCGGTTAATGCTCTAAGCTACTTAGAAATGTTGGAGGAAATACCAGAAATCAACAAAGGTCAGCTCATCCAATTCTTCCACCTAAGAGGCATTTTTAAGCTGACTTTAACAGTTTTTTAAAATTCTGCAGTATCTACAAGCAAAGTGGTACAGCTAGAGTGTCTGTTCTAACTCTCCGCTCTACAGGATGCTGAGAAGTGCGTTTCATTCTCTTGCACAGTAGAAGTTACTCGTTTTCTTCCCCTTGCCACCCTCTCCCCCCGCTTTCTCCTCAGTGAAAGCAAGCTCTGTAGTTACTGTGCCTATGCCCTTGTTTACTCAAGGGGTAAATCAACTTCCCGTGGTGGGAACTGTGCTCGCTCACAACTGGAAGTTGCTTGGGGGGGTGGATAGCAGGTCCTGACAATCTTAAACTGCTCTTATGTTATTCAGGGCTAAGTCCTTCTCATGATTATTGATAAGCAAGGGGGTTATTTTTGTTGGGTTTTTTTTTTTCCCATGAAAATAAGGAAATAAATGTGAAGATGGAACATGACAGCTCTATAGGATATTTGCAACAGCATATAGCATGTGTTTGATTAGTACCAGAGCACATACTAAAACTGTGAAAGGATCCTTCTGCTGCTAGTATAGACAGGCAAGCTACCCTGCATCACACCTCAGCAACGCAGCTGAGGTAAGTTTTGTACACTTGCTTTCACATGATCTTGAAGGAAGAGACATACGTAAGGGGTATGAGGTACATGTGCAAACATGGGAACAAACTGAAACACAGGAGGCTCCCTCTGACCACCAAGAAACACTTTTTTACTGTGAAGGTGACTGAGTACTGGAACTGGATGCCCAGAGAAGTTGTGGAGTCTTCATTGTGTATGTTTTTCCCTTGATAATCTAGACTAAATTCTCCAGGGGGAGACTGAAAGGGCCTGAGCTTTAAATGTAAAGAATATACTATGCTAGTACAATGGAGACATCCAAAGAAACCTTACATACTAGCAGTGAAGGAAAACAAGCTTTCAGATGCATGCTGAGCAAGCTCCTGTTTATTCCAACACTTTCAAATGAACACTGCAGCTCCAGGAGTAGGAAGGAGGTGCAAGGACACCCAAAACAATCCATCTCATCATGACTGAAACCAGAACACGCAGCAGCAATGCAAACATGTCCAGAACAAAGATAGTAGCACTCCCCCACCCCCAACTGTTCACTCCCAATTCCAGACTCTGGTACTGGAGAAGTCTGTCACCAAATATGCCTGAAACATAAACAAGAGTTACATCACACTAATAAAACTATCATCTTCCCTTCAAGTCTTCTAACAAGATACTAGAACAAGTGTGCCCAGCATCAGCTTCTTATCCATTTATTTAGTACTATACATTCATTCCACCTACTCTTATGAAAATGGTATCACAGAACAATAGTTTCACTATTTCAAGATTAAACAGTGTTCTGAACATTATCTATAAACATCGATTAAAAGAGTGCTTATTAAATGGGAAGGAAAATAACTACTTAACAGAGTTGGCCAAGAAATTTGAAAATCCAAGCCTCCAGTATTTGCTGCAGACAACACGTACTGTAAAGCTTTTAAATTAAAATATTCCTTGTTTGACTTAGATGCATGGACATCCACATGGTATCATGGATCTGTCTGAGAACCACTGGCACAGGACATTCAAATGCTGAAAAATGAAGAAAAACAATTACTTTTGGTTGTTTGGGCAGAGTACGCTGCCACAGATCAAGTTACCTTCTTGAGCTACTAGCAGCAAAAGCTCTCTCTGTTATATTGCCTTAGGGCTCTTTGTTTCAGTACCTGTTAGTTCTTAAAGCTATACTGTGGGCTTTGGTAACATGCACGTAAAGAAATTCAATTTTTTAACAGCTTTTTATTTTATTAAAAGAGTGGAAGTCTGGGCAGAAGGGATTTTTTTTTTGAAATAAATTCTAGTTGTCAACATTACTGACAGTTCAGACTTTGCTTAAAACTTCTGAAATCACACCTTCGCAATGGTATGAATTTGTAGTTCATATTCACTGTACTTACATGTCACTCATCCAAATCTGCAAGTCCCATTTCTATGAGTTTCATATGAACTAGATTTTTGTCATCTTCATACAAAGAAATGGTGACCTCTGGTGAAAGAGCCTGAAAACCAGAAGTTGACAGAGCTTTGACAGTAACAGATTAAATCTCAAGCTAACTAACAGTAAAAGTTATTTTACTGGCTATACTCACTGCCTAAATGGAACTGTGACTATACAAAGAATATTTCTCTTTTTAAGTAAAGGAAACTGGTTTTAAACTAACAGGAATGCTCCGAAACTTTTTTTTTTGGCAGGACAAAGAAGAATGCCACATGATTTTCTCTCTTCATCAGCATTCCTTCATGGTAAATGGTTCAGAATTTTAAATTATGAGGGTTCACAGTAAAAGAAATACTCAGAAATTACTCAGAGTGCTATTAAGAATTTTAGGCTGAGCAAGAACTAGGAGAAAAAAGGAAAGTGTTCCTCACAAGTATGGAAGCAGAAAGCTGTTTTCCTTCAACGCACTCCATCATAGCCCACAGTGCTTCCACGCTCCATTCTGGGGAGTAAGGAATTCTTTTCACATTTTTGTCATATGAAGCAGGTTTAAATCCAGCCAACAGAGCTCGTACTGCCTGAACAGGATACTTCAGCAGATGGTAGGGTATGTGACGCAATCTAAAACAAAAATGAAAAGTGTTTGCCTGCAACGATCTACCTGTGGAGCTAAACTGTCAGTGTGGACATAAGGAGATCTTCATGGTTCACGCAGCAGATTTGCAGCATGCAACCTGGGTTCAGAGTCCCTGCTCTACAGTAACGTGCCGGTGTCAGACCCAACAATTCATCAGGGAGGGCCGGGCCCTCCGAAGGCTTCAGCACAGTGCCGATGGAGAGGCAGGTCGGGATCATACAGGCACACTGGGTCCCCAGTAAAATGCCTGGGGAGGAGAATCGAGTACCCAATACTGATTTGAGCAAAGGAATTTAAGTGCAAGTCAGCAGAATGCAGGCTTCACATCTGGTACATCTGAAAATGACACAGACCTTTGTGGTTGGTCTGAAGTGCTTCACACCCGGACGTGCTCTAGACACGCTACTGGAAATAGGTACCATAGTTTTATATGATCATCTCCCCATTCTTCTAGCTTTCTATCCCAGAAGCAAGGGAATGGGGAAGCAGAGCAGGAAGTGCAACCTTGAAATGAAACACACACTCTCTCCTACAACCCTAACAGTCTGTGAAGCAGGACATCTGTTCAAATCCCCATTTTGCCTCATCTTCAGCAAGACCTGTAGATTCCCCAATGAGCTCAAGAGCAAGTCAATGTGATTAAGCAGTGTACCTATAAAGTGAAAGTGCTTCAAGAGAGAAGATTCAGACAAGCTTAGGGGATGCTAAAAGCCTGGGGTGCTTGAGACACACATCTGCGTGTCAGCACAGGAGCAGTTCCCGGAGCACCTCAGCACCAGGCGGAACAGGGATTTGAACTTCCATTTTCCACACAAGCAAAGCGGGCAGCGTCCCCCCTCAGATACTCCCTTAATCTTATTCCCCAGCTGTCTTCTGTGCAGATTGCAGTCGCACAGGATCAGAGGATTTGTTTGTACACCTGCAGGGCTCAGTCCCTATTTTGTGTAAGCTTCTTGGGTGCAGAAGCAGATTATAAGCCTGAGCCTACTTCACAGGTTAAGTAATCTGAAGATGTTAGAGAAATCTGGTATTATAATAATGGGCTTCTCAGAACAACCTGAAAAAGAGAAGCAGGTGCACAACCCCATACCTTGCAGACAGAAATTATTTAACCAGCCAACCTACCTTCTCTCCAACTGAAATCTAATGCTAAATGATGATAAACAATGTATCTGTAGTTATATAAAAATAAATAATATCAAATGTAAAAACACATTTATAAGTACATGTTTTACAAGTACATACATACATACACACATAGACATTTGACATGCTTTTTTTTTTCTTAGGTATTTACCTGCTTGTTGGCACAACTGAAAAACTACCATAGTCAACAAACTGAACCAGGACCTTAACAGGGTCAAATTCTGCAATGGAGAGGAGCTTTGCTCTATACCATACACCATCCTGGTACTCTACAAGGCAAGGCAAAACAAAAACCAGCACCATTAAACACCCCAAAATATACTCACAGCGCAGTTCAAACTAATTGAACTTGAAAATCCATTTTACTTTGTGATCAAGTTTTTTCTTCTGTAATTCATGCTACTATTTTGTTCTGTGCATCCTCCAATTCACAATCATTAATATGCAATTTAAGTCAAGTTTCTCTACCTCACACAGCAATGATGAGAATTAACAAAAAATTGCATTGTAAAGATAGTGATCCAAGCTGTTTAA